AGCAGGAGTGGAGTGGTGAGGGTGTACCATGCTCCCACACGTCAGTGCTGTGCTAGAAACAGCACTGAGGTGTCTCCTGACTGCAGTGGTAACTACAGCCCGTTTCCTGTTTATGAATTGATAAAGAAAAAATGGTTATTAGAATGTTCTCTGTTTTAGATTTTTATCCTATACACGTTCCTTAAGCCATTGGTGTTTACTACCACTTATCTGTTAAGATGGCAAAACGTCTAAATCTATACCAAATACACATGGAGGGGGAAATTTTCTGAAGTTGCTGAGCATTTTACTTCATAGTTCCTCATTTTCAAGGACATACACTCCTGGTTGTAATGTTTGTTTTATATAAAGCAGTGATAGTTTCTTCTGATAAAATTGTTTCCAGTTTTTAGGGTGAATTAAATAGATCAGTATTTATGGTGTTCCTACCAGATGGCTATAATTTTTAGTTATTTTACTACTGAAATAAATTGGGAAACAAGCAAGTATGTAAGCAGATGTTAAACCCAGTGAGCAAACAATTTTATCAATTTGTCTATTTATAGACTGGCACTGCAGAGAGGCTGTAAGGCTGCAATTGCTACAAACAAGCACTCAGACAATAGGTATATCAATGAGAACCACACAGTCTGAAGACATTTTCTTGAAGAATACGGTATCTGAAATAAGCCTGGAGGGATAAATCAAATCTGGAAAAAGCACTGTGGAAATGCAATGGTGGTGATGTGAATTTCACAGTGATACTTTAAATAATTTTATTTTTTCAAATTGTTAAGGCCATATGTACATTGCAAAAATAAATAATAAATAAGCTATCAAGACATAGAAAGAGGAAAATAACCCTCTTTCTACTTGAGTGGAATAGCACTATCATTTTGATGTACCTTTATTCTGGGCCCGTCATAATGGTTGTGATCAACTGCCTGCATAATTTTGTACCCAGGTTTTTTCAGTTAAGATGAGGGTTTAAATTTTTTTCATGTTAACAAAATCTGTGGATGTGGTATCTTTAATGACTGCATAACATGCCACTAAAAAGATATGTCAACCTATATACCAATTTCCTCATTATTGTGCATTTAGGTACAAGATTCTCATTTTTCACTGTTGAAAGCCTGAGATGAACAGGCTAGTGGAACCTCTCCTTGTGGTTCCTAGATCTTGCTCCGGCCTTGATCAGCCATGCACTCTGGGGAGGCCTGGCCCAGTGCCAGGAGTGGGAGCCATGCCACTGGCCATGAAGGGCGCTTCAGGGATGGCCATGCGACCGTTTAAAAAAGACAGTATGTTCCCATGACATGCCTAACTCAGAAACTTTATTTCCAGAGGGAGAAGCATTATGTGGGACCAGGATGCCTTCTGATGTGTCAGCTAAACATAACCACAGCACAGAATTCTGGTTGGGATCATGAAAGGGCACAGGGAAGGCGATTCACCAAAGAGAGAGAGAGGGAGCCTGATCTGATTGGGGAATAGAAAGGAGAAGGGATCTGTATGAAGCCAGGACAGAATTTATGTTCAGAGAAAAAGCTGGTAAAATAAGAATCAGCATAGATAAGCAAATATATTGAAGTTTAGGATATATACATTTCACACTTGTTTATTCTGTTGATACATTTTAAATCCTGTGACAAAAATGTCTATACTATAGTTAGAACAGTTGCTGGATTACCTAATATTAGCAGAACCGAAGTCCTGAAGAAAAACCTCATTACTTGAAGGATGCTGAGTATTTGGCCTACATACAACCTCAGCTCATAAGTTTAAATGCAAGGGCTAGGAGAGAGAGAATAAAAGGTAATCTCTAAGGAATTCAAAAACAAGGAAAAGTTTCCACTGCTGTCAGAAGAGATGAGTCCAGTTTGGGTTGCCCAGAGTCATATGAAAGGCGGAAAGACATGGTCATACTCTTGTGAAGTTTGAATGAATTCAGTGGATCCTGGAATCTTTGATCTTTACTGACAAAAAAAAAAAAACCCCTAAATGAATAAAAGTTCATGGATCCCTGCCATCTTACCAAGTGACCAGCAGTGCTTGTACCACCAGTAAGATACACTTGCAGGGAGAGGGCAGGCTGAAGAAATTTGGAGCCTCGGATATCACACCAGAGGAAATGATCCACGAGCCAGTGGAAGACAAACAGTTTGCCGTCATGTGGGGCTCTAAACTGGAAGACACAGACACTTCTGCTCCACACGCAGTACTGGACATAGCTTTAAGTTAAACCCTAGTCACCTGGCACAGTGTCGATAGTATTGTCAGCTGCTACAATGGCTGGAAGATTGCCAGTACTTTCTAGACTGCTTCTGAAATACTGAAAAGCCTTTTTGACCCTTGTTAAAAGTAGATAGATACAAATATTTGAAGTAGCTGTAAGAATACCTATAGTAAAGTATAAAAATACCAATAAAGCAGGCACAGGAAAATTATAGATAGAAGAACAAGGCTAAAGGAAGAACTCAGATATAGAAATGAATGCCATATGGGTCCACCCATTTCCTACCATGATCTGCAAATCTGGCTTCGAGGTTCCTGCTGGTGAGGGGAGGAGGAAGGAGGGAGTTTTCCAGATATGAATATTTAGTAACTAATTAGTTTCAGAGGTCTCTAACCTACCATTATAATAATTATTACTTTTCTTTATATGGCACTTAATACTTTGCAAAATAATTTCACATACTTTAATCAGCACAAAATCATGTGCTGCAAGATTTGAGGGCACAATATTAAAACAATAATGTATCTTTCACTCATGCATCAAGGAATGTTGTCTCACTGCAAACAATGCAAATGTAGAAAATAAGTAGAAAGAGCTCTGAGAAAAATCGAGTAACACCAAGTGCATGCACGGAAAAGATCCTCTCACTCAGAACCTACGTTCCCTTATGTAACTTGAAATTCTAGCAAAGTTCATTAATTTCTTTCCTAAGGCCACTGCAGGTGAAAAGTAAAAGAATAGGGACTATCACAGGGAAGCACTCTGAAAGCTCCCCAGACTGGTATGTGTCAAAGCAGAGGCAAGAGCTTAAAAAAGGCAAAAGAGCAGCAATTAGTGCAGAAACTGAAAACCCTGAACATTCACCAAGTAGCACAGGCAGGGATGTGTCCTGCGCTCAGTCTCTCCAGTCTGGGCCCTACCCTTCGTGAGTGGGTTTTTCACGTAGCTACCTCACCATCTTTCAGGAACTGAAATCTGATCATATCCACCGGCTCCCAACTCGTCGGGCCTTTCACGACCTTCCAAGGCTTATCAGAATAAAAATCCCTTATTTAAACTGGCTCTGGCGACTGCCGCCCACTTCTTCAGCCCATTGCACACTCCCTCTAACTTCAGCCCCACCTGGTGGGCTTCTGCGCATTTCCTTCTCCCTATCTGGAAGTGTCTCTGCTGCCTCTCCTGGGCAACCTGAACCTTGGGAAGCCTTATCTAATCCTGGAGTCTAGATTAGGTTTCCTGGTGAACCCATAGCACCTTCACAGATGCGAATTTATCGTAGCTGCATCTAATTATTAGTCTAATTGTTTAATAGCTGTTTTCTCCAGGGTACTGTGGGCTCTGGGAGAACAAGGACTGTGTCTGGAATACACGCTGAATAAATATTTACTGAAAAAAATGAATATGCAATGTCACATCTTCCTAATATATAACAGTTCATTTTTAATAAAAGATCCTATGGGAGAAGGAGGAGCTACTTTTCTGTGTTTAAGCAAAAAGATTGTGAAGTAGAATGCAATATTCACAAGAATTTTAAAGCAAAAATACAAGAATTTGAGAATGCTGCAGGCTATGCCCCCAGATTTTTCTGTGGCCATTGTGCTTAAAATAATATGGAAACACGGTCTGATAAAAGATCCATTTCTAAAGGGATCTAGATAACCAAGGCTTATCTTCATTTTACTAAATGAAAATATGTAGATGAAGGGGGCTTTGCAAAGTGTAAATTTAATTTACTATTACTGAGAAATCTGTGTCCCTACAAGGGGGAATGATTTGGCTCATATTCCACCACCAATTACAGGTGAGGCTGGCGACAGGTCTCCCGTGGCCTGTCCAGCGCAGTGCTTTTCATTAAGGCACAGCACCTGCCACCTGGTCCCTGCTGCAAAGGTTCCCCTGCCTCACGTCCTCCTCCCCGCCGCTGCCCCAGCCATGTTTAGGGCTGATGTCTTAAGCCAGGCTCAAATACACTTTAAGTTCTGATTAGCCAGAACTGAGAAGCGGGCAGAAAAACCAGGTCGATCATTTCCTGGCATCATAATCCAGAGGCTTTCTGCTTTTTACCCTCAAGACTGGGCAGTTCCCCTCGAAGGCTGCAAACCCAAGACGCTTGCCCCCTAGCGGCAAAATCTCAGGACTGCAGCGCGTTCCAGAGTCACAGTCGATCCTCAATTCTAAGGGTGTTCTTATTGTCGCCAGGCTAGGAGGTGCAGGCAGTATTTAAGGAGACTGGGAAGCGGGAAAGCTCGCAAGTCACTGTGCTTAGGGAACACTCCGCAGGAGGCGACGCGGCTGCCAGGCTCTGTGGTCCTTCAACGTGGCCTGTTTCTGCGCACAGAGGTTGGCCACAGCTGCTCATTGAGAAACCAGGGACCCCCTTAGGCTTCGGCCCAGGAGGGTGGACGTCCCGTTCAGTCCCCTCGGGATGCAACTGCCTTTCCCGCCCCTCGCGCCCCGCCTGGGGCCGGAGCAGGGGCCAGGAGCTCAGGCACTGGCCCGGGTGCGACCGGCGGCGAGAGGTACCGAGGCCCCTCTCGCCCACCCGCACCGCAGATGAAGCCGACGCTCCACCCAGGACACCGCCCCGCGACGTCGGGCTCGCGCTGCGCGCACGCGGGTGGGCGTGGGAGGCAGGGGCGCTACTCGCACGCAGCGTGTGCGCGCGCGCTTCCCCGCGCACCCTCCCGCGCAGGCCGGGCGGCTCGGCCCCCGCTCGCGTCACGAGGGGCGGGAGGGTGGGGAGAAGGGGGTGGGGCCGCGGACGGGAGGGGCCCGAGCGGCGGCTGCGGAGCCCTAGCCGGAGCCGGGCGAGGGCGGCTGCGGTCCCGGCGGCGGCGGCGGCAGCTGCGGCGGCGGCGGCGGGAGAAGATGGTGGCGCTGGAGGTAGGAGCGCCTGGAGCGGAGCTTTATTCCCAGGCTTGGCACCGGCGCTGTCATTAGCGCCGCCTGCTCCCGCGGGCCCGCGGACCCGCAGACCCAGCTGTCAGGCAAGGTACCACCGCCAGGGAGGGGCGGGTGAATGGGGGTGCCCGGCGGTGATGCTACCCCTGACGGAGCCCGGGTCCTCGCCATCCTCATCGAAGGGTGTTCCCGGGTGCAAGGGGCTGCATGGAACAACAGTGCCGATGAGCGAGGACTGCCGGCGACATCCAGGGGCCAATTCCTTTAGCCATCGAGCCAGCGGGGCGGGGGAAGGGGGAGTAGAAGGTAGGGACGCCTGGTGTCCGGTGTGCGCTGAGATGCGGGGCTTTGGGGGCAGCGGGCAGGCGTGATGACAGACATAGTCAGACTGTGTGTGTGTGTAAAAGGTACAGCCAAGGGGATTGGGGGTGGTGGACTGAAGGCGTTGGGGAATGACATTTCCAGGAATCCGGGCTAGGATCCCTCATCTCTCCGCAGACTCTCTGGGAGAGAGAATGTGGTGAAGGCAACGGCCAAGTGGGCAGGATGCACTTAGTGTGTGAGTGTGGAGGGAGTCAGTGGGGTAGGGGCAGATTTGTAAAATCCCGTGTAGGAATGTGTACTCCTCAGGTTGTGTATACTCGTGTGGTTGCATGCACGCTCCCCAAACTGCGCTCTAAACCGAGAGATCTGCGGGTGCCCCGACTTGCCGTCACCGCTGGCTGTGGGACAGTGTCTGTAATTTTGCCCCTGAAAGTCTGAGTACAGTCTCTGTTCCGCTCTTGCATGTGGATGGCCGGGTGTAGAGGTTATTACTTCCCCTTTCTCTGGCCTCTTGACATGGGGATGTGAAAGCGCGCATGTGGCTTTGGGCACATGGCAGGGAAACAGGGGAACGGTTACCCCTTCTGCGCTTGCTGGCGTCCCTGGTTTTGAAGGGAGCCTCCATCCTGTGACACTTCTCTCCTCTGGAAGGGTCTTAGCCGCCCTGACTCTGCAGTTTCTATTGTTTATCTCTTGTCTGACTTGGAAGAGAAGGGTCTTTAATGGCCACGTTCCTTTCTTAATCCTCACAACTTTGAATGTCAACTACACCTTCCCATTCCACATTTAAACGCGGGAAACTAATGGCTGAAGAATGGGTGGTCTTTGTGCTGGTCCTTGCAGAATGAACTCTGGAGGGGTGAAGCGAGAGATTCCATGGTGGGGGGCGCTAATTAGAAAGAATGGGATCATACAGAGAAATATTTGGTACTCTATCGGTCATCATCAGATCGGCAGGGCATTTTCCTTAGGAAAAGGGATACTTTATTTCTCTTGCCAGAGACATCCACTCTCCCAGCTTCCACAATGGCTAGGTGGTACCATGTATCATTCGGAAACTGAAATCCCCCAAGACCCAAGGAGATGGGGTCCCTGGTTGGTGAAGCCTGCTTTCCCAGCCCATGTAGCCTGCTGATGAGGAATTTGGCAAATGTCAGGCTGTCGATAAGTCACCTAGTGGGAACCAGGACAGAGAACTGCATCTAGAGTCTGTAGCTGTTTAATTGTCTCTGCGTAATAAAGATAGGCTTGGGTGGCATTGGGTAGGGAGGAAGGAATGGAGATAGCATATTCGTATGTATGTCTACTGCAGTGTGACTTCCCAGCGCCTGTATTTCTCCTGTGGTATTTGTAGAAATGAGTGTGCCTTTAACTCAATATATTGATACTTCTTTATTAAAATGCGGTGTGACTAGATTAACCTGCTTAGAACACGTTTGAACTAGAACACCTGAAATTCTACTGCATTGCTGTCACAGTCCAAACTGGCTGCCCCTGTCCTCTTTGTAGCAGTCACAGCTACACAAGTAAACACACAGCACCTTGGCACCAAAGGTTTCTTTCTTGGAGTTTTTAAAAAATTTTGTTTGGGGTTAGCAATCGCTGCACGATATTGTTGTTGCACTGAAAAGAATAAAACTAGGGTTATCCGTGTATGTTCTTTTCTTCCCGTTTATCCTCTGTTAATGAATGAAAATGTACAGAGTAGATGCTCTTGGAGCTGTGGGCTTCAAACTCCCCTGTGTCCTTCAAGTCAAGCCTTCCAAAATTTTAATGTGAGGCTGTTGGGGCTTGTCCAAGATTTAAGGGTGGATTTATAAAAATGAATTTTGAATCTTAGTTCTTTGCTCTCTTATTAGCTGTGCCAATTTCTTTCTCGGAAAAGTACTTAAGGAATTTAAAAGGCACTCTAAGAGGGTGTTTTTTTTTTTTGGTAAAGAAGTTGTCTTTATATTTGCGTGTAAATTTCCTATATAAATATCTTACAAGAAAGTTTAAGAATATTAGGAATCACCGAGGTAAATAAACTGTTTAGGAAAAGAAGAATTATACAACAGCACAATTGATGACTCAGGAATTGGTGATTTCCTTTCTAACGCAAATGTGATCATTGTAAAATGCAGTGCCTGGCTTTTCCAAAGATTGGATGGGTGAGGTCATTCGTGGTTGTGTGGATCCTGTAACTCACGCTGGTGTGCAGTTGTGTGCCTGAGCCTGCCATCGGCCACTTGTTTTGATGGATGTGTTGTCTTCAGTTAAAGTAGCATTAATGCTTTTCTATTTCATTATTGCATCTCTTAAAAAAGTTGTTTTTCAGAAGACTTGGAGATAAAAGACATTTGAAAACTGATCTTTGGGGCCAAAAGGAATAAACTATGGGGGAGATGGGAATTGTATTCTATAAGGAAAAGTTGATTGTTGCTAAACCTGAGATAGTTTCAAGCCTAAAATCCATAGTTAACCCTTTGAGTTACCATCATTAACTTACAAATATTTGTTAATTGCTTATCACATCTCAAGCACTATATGCCTTTGGATAGGGATTGGGAAATACTGGGAGACCTGGTGATTTGAAGAATCAGGAGTCTTAGATCTTGCCCAGAGGAAGTTCATGGTCTGGAAGGGGAGACAGAGCATGGTGTATGTAGCTCACTATAACAATGGTGGAAAATGGTTGAATGCTGAGAAAGCCATATTTCTGCAGTGCTGTGGGAGTTCACCAGATACACCAGTAACTTGAAGTGGAAGAATTAGGGAAGGTTACATGAAAGAGAAGTGGAGCTGGATTTATACAGGTGGTATTGGGGCTGGCAGGGAAGAAGGGGCACCCTTGGGGAGGACCATGTAGCAAAGACTTAGTGGTGGAAAGGTGTGTGCCTGCACCGAGAACAAAGACTGGCGTGCTTTGACTGGAGCACAGGGAATGCCACGAGCTGTAATGAGAGAGGTAGTAAGAGAGGTTCTTTCAAGGTTGTGGAGCACCTTGTATGCAGATTTTACTCAGTAGGTACCAGGGAGCCGTGGAAGGTTTCTGAGGAGGAGTGTTGACAGGATCAGGTCTGTGCTTTACAGTGATGACCTTACAGCATTGTGTTGAATGCAATGAAATGAGAAAAGACTGGCAGTAGCGAGACCAAACAGACTGTAGTCAAATTAGGGGTAAGAGGAAATGAGGCAATGGGAGTGAAGAGAAAGAGACAGACTCAAGAGACAGGGTGCAGGAATAATCTGAACCCTTAGCAAGGAAGTCGAAGGTCATTGTCAGGCTCAGCTGAGAGCATGATTGGGTCATTGGCAGAAGGTTCAGAGGAGAATGAGAAAGAGGAGGAAAAAGAAGCTTCATTTGGGCATGACAGGTTTGTCCAAATGAAGGGACTAGAATACGAGTGTCAGTCTTTGAAGAGAGGGTGCAGCTACAAAGAGAGATTAGTAAGTCATCACTTAGGAGCAATTTTGTGTCTCAGGACAGGCCAATAAAGAAAATAAAGCAAGAAGAAGCAAAAGATTAAGATAGGCTCCTTGAGGGGTGTCTGTATGTTGGAGGGAAAGAGAGAAAGAGAGGAGAACAATATGAAATGGGCAGCTGGAGGAAAATGGTAGCAGCAGTATGGTGTCATGGGAGCTAGGAAAGATGAGGGGAGCTACAGTCACCTGTCGCTCTTACAGCACTCCCTGTGGGGGTGGGGTACAACGAAGGAAACGCCTCTGGCTTTGATGCCTGGCTTTCCCTGGTCATCTTGGCGGTAGGTGGAAGTGGCAGCCAGGCTGTGAGGGTTGAAGAGAGGGGAATGATGTACGTGGACACCAGTGAAGGCAGACTTCTTTGTTAATAAGCCAGATGATAAAGGAGGAGAGAGGTTGCTGTGTCAAAGCAATGGTGTAGTAGAGGGAAAGTAATGTTTTCAGGATAGGAAGTCTCAAACCTACATTAAAGCAGAGGAGAAAAATCTATTGAAGGGCAGGGATTGAAAGTGTAAGGGAAAGACTCACCTGATGAAATGGCATCTTTGAGAAGATGGCAGCGTACTGGATGAAGGCCAAGGAAAGACTCTTGAGACAGAAGCACGGGAATTCTGACATAGAACGAAAGGAATTTGGCCCCAGTGTTCTAGGTCAGGGGTCTCCCACCCCCAGGCCACGAACTGGTACCAGTCCAGGCCTGTTAGGAACCGGGCCGCACAGCAGGATGTGAGCTTGAAAGTAATGCACTGGAATCATCTGGGAACTATCCCCTCAACCCTGGTCCCTGGAAACATTGTCTTCCACGAGAAACTGGTCTCTGGTGCCACAGAGGCTGGGAACCGCTGTTCTAAGTATAAAGTGAAAGGTGAGCATGTGAGTAGAATAACAAAGGCTTGGAAGGTGTACTGTGGAAATGTAGCAGTGAATCAATTAAGGGTGAATAAAAGATTATCACCCAACTACGAGGGTCTCCTGCACTTGGAGAGCATAAATTTCCGCTGGAACCAATTAGCCCTGTGTAATTAGGGTTCGACAACTGCTTGTGTGATTTTTGTGACAGTGAGCATTAAATGTTGCTAAGTGTTATTTGTGGTTCCTCCTTCCCTTAAATCCAATGAAAAAAGAGATATTTATCTTTAAACTTAGCTGAGTAAAAGATTCTACCTGTGGAGTATTTCCTGTGACTATTCTCTCTTAGGGATTGCTGACTTAAATAAATAAAGCTTATGGTAAAATAATGGGGGGAAAAGCATAAGTGTGATTTACAAAAGTTGTTTTCCCTGTCTGTAACAGCAGGATATGGCT